TACAACCATTGCGCCATACCCCTTGTCACGTGATCAAAATTATGACGCTTGGCAATTGACTCATATTTGTGTCAGTGTCCTGGGGTCATGTGATCTCCTTGGAGATCCTCCTGGACTCATGGCTCCTGCTTGAGAAGATCATAGGTGGGGGAGGGGCTTTGCAGAGATTTAACTGGTGCACCAACTGTGTCCTTTCCTAGACCAGGGAGGCCTTGCACAGAGCTCAATCATGCCTTGGTCACCTCCAGTTTGGATCACTGCCCTGGACCCCACAGAAACCTCTAACTGGTTCAGAATGCCCCAACGCACAAATTAATGAGGGCCTCTAGGTTGCCCATATCACATCTTTGTGGTGTGAGCTGCCACAGGCGTTGTTTCTTTACAGGTGTAATTGAAGATGCACACATTTAAAGCTAATACACCATTAATTAATTAATACACCACCCCACTGTGCTTTATAACACTCTCGGCTCAGTGTCAGCATATTCTCCCCAACAATCTGGGTTCTCATTTTACCGATCTCAGAAGGATGGAGGGCTGAGTTAACTTCGAGCTCCCTCAGGATCGAATTCCAGGCTGTGGGCAGTCAGCCAGAAATACTGCATTCTGACCACTGAGCCAACAGGGCACCTGTCATTAATGTTCCACTTTTATTATTTCTGCATCTATCTGTTCTACCAGGTCAGATAGGGTGGGCATGCACCTAGCCCCATCCCTTAACTATGGCCATCTGATAGGAGCTAGGAAGTGAGCCTTTTCCGCTGCAGACCCTGCCCTATGAGACACTCTTTCCCCTGAAGTATGGCAGGCCATTATCTGTATTAAGGTTTTATTACTGCAAGCCGCACACTCACCATGAGTTGGGTTGGCATATACATTTTCTTAACAAATAATATATTTATGTGTAGAAATAGCTCAAGGTAGCAAACACACTTAATACAGATGCAAGCTCGCTTTCACTGTCCCAGCACAGCAGTTCCCCTTGACTCTGTGGAAGGGAAGGACCACACTGGGCCAGAGAAAGGAAGCTCAGATCTTCTCCCTCATGTTTGATACTAAAACACATTTGACTAAAAAGAATATGGCAAGAAATTAAAAGTTTAGTTTCTCAGCTGGGCTTCCAGTTAAAGAAGAGAAATGAAATTCAAGATTCCTCTACACACATCAAATTTTGCCTGTGTAATTTCTTGTGTTTGAAAAAGGTAGTATAATATGTGAAACATTTTCCACAATCTGGGCATTTGAATAGTTTCTATCCTGTGTGTAACCTTACATGATTCATAAGGCTGGTCCTACTACTGAGATTTTTCCCACAATCTGGACACTCATACGGCTTCTCTCCTGTGTGAGTCCTCTGGTGTATCACCAGCTGATAATTCCATCTGAAATTTTTCCCACAATCTACACACTTATGTGTTTTCTCTTCCATGTGAATCCTCTGGTGTTTCACCAGGTAGGAATTCTGACCGAAACATTTCCCACAATCACGACATTTATATGATTTCTCTTCTATGTGAGTAGACCGATGTTTCACCATGTCACTTTTCCAAGAGAAATCCTTTCCACAATCTGGGCACTCATATGGTTTGTCTCCTGTATGAGTCCTCTGATGACTAAAAAGGGAGGAATAATAAGTGAAACCTTTTCCACACTCTGGGCACTCATACGGCTTCTCTCCCGTGTGAATCCTCTGGTGTATCACCAGGCGGCACTTACGATTGAAACTTTTCCCACAATCCAGACACTTGAATGGTTTTATTCCTGTGTGAGTTCTCTCATGTACCACCAGGCTAGAATTCTCACGGAATCTTTTTCCACAATGCAGACACTCATACGGTTTCTCTCCTGTGTGTGTTCTCTGGTGTACCACCAGATTAGAATTCTGACTGAATCTTTTCCCACAATCCAGACACTTGAATGGTTTCTCTCCCGTGTGAGTCCTCTGGTGACTCAACAGGTGGGAATTCTGACTGAAACCTTTTCCACAATCAGGACATTCATATGGTTTCTCTCCCGTGTGAGTCCTCTGGTGAATCACCAGGTGGGAATTCTGACTGAAACTTTTTCCACAAACGGGACATTCAAAGTGTTTCTCCCCAGTGTGAGTCCTCTTGTGTCTCACCAGATTGGTGTGCATGCTAAATCTTTTCCCACCCTGGGAGCACTGGTAGAACTGCTCCTCCTGCATCAGTCCTTCCATGAATAATTGGAGTCCTGTTCTGAGTAAAGCTTTTGCCACAGTCCAAACATTTGCATGAGTTTTCAAGGGGTGGATGGACTCATGCAAAAATCAGGTGTGATTTGCAATCCGTGTTTTTCCCAAAATAGGCAGTCGGTGGAATTTTTCTAACACTGATATTCTTGGATTCATGAGGTAGTCAAAAATATTTCTGATCCCTTGTCTGGTGGTGCTTTGATCCAAGACGCTTTCCTTCCTCAAACGCTTTCATTAATGCCTTTGTACTTTTTCATGCAATATTTTCTTGAGTTCCACATAATCTATTTTTTCTACCTGAAAACTCTGTTGCTGTTATTCTCTCCTTTGTCTCCCTCCATCTGTTAAGGAAAGAGAAGAGTTTTAACACTTTCTGGAGGAAATGGAAAAGATTTTGATTGATGGTTTGTTTTGCATTTTAATGCAGCTTCTCATTCTTTGTTGTCCGGAGTGCTCTTCTTGGCATCCTCTCTGTCTGTAAGATTCATATTAATGGATTAATTTCATTAGTGTTTAAAAAATGGCTGCTGAACCTGTGAAAACAGCAAAAAAAACCCACCATCCATATATTACTATGAAAAAGTAAACATATCAAAATGCTAATTTAACCTCTAAGATTCATTATGATTCATCAGGCACAGAGGAGACTAGCAAAATCAAACTTCAAGTACCCACTCATATTTCAAATCATGGAATTCTCTTCTTGGCTTGGGTAAATTATGATAATTGTAAATCACAAATTATTATCATTGTAAATAGTTGTTACAAAAAATACCTGAAAATACTGAGGTCTATACAGATACATGTATATGCACACATAAACACACACCTATAAATTTATATATGTGGAAAATCTATGTGTATTTCGGACCTTCAAAATGTTTCAGGAGTGGATTCACTTAATTTGTCTGATCTAATTTTAGAAAGCTGGGACACTAACAGATGAAAAAGTGCCCAAAGCCTATGCGAGATTTAAAGCACCCGTTTTACTCCCGAAAGTCCTCACTTGCCAGGAAAACATGTCAGTAATATCACAAGGAATGAAGACCGAGAGAGGCAGGCTGTTAAAAAATATAAAATAAAGATTTCTTAAATGTCACAATTTTTCCATTTCCCAGCAGAAAATCACAGGCAGCAGTTTTAAATCATGCAGCGTAAGGATAAGAACATTTGGGGAGAGAAAGAATATGCAGCAGCAGCAGCCGACACCTTTCAGCCTCGTCCCTTCGCTGCTTCCACACCGCGGAGGAAAAGAAAGAGCCCGACTTCTCCTCCGACCTGCCCTCCACTCACCTCCCAGGAGCCGCTTCCACCCTCGAATCTGCACAAGACGCACCAGTGACGCCATTCTCCTCCCATAAGTGAACCGGAAAAGGAGGTTCCTCTGCACTTTCTCCAAAACCCTCTCTAGCAATCCAATTCTCTATCGTTTCAATTTGTTCCTGCTCAGCCTCTCTCCCTCCCGTATGACGTTGGCACCAGCGATGCAGCTGCTGTACAGAACTGTATTCTCTGCTTTCTAGGTACGAGTGTTGCTTCTCTGTAGAGCGCCATCTAGCGACATAAGGTTGAAAATCACGCTGGTCCTATCTCTTCCCTAAAGCGTTTGCAAGGCGTTTTCATGGATTCCCTGGTTCTTTAGGGGCCATCAAGTCGTGTTCGACTCCCACCGAGCACATCGATAGCTTTTGTCCAGGACAATCTACCCTAAACCTTTTCTTTCAGGTCTCCTGAAAATCACCAATTGATTTTATTGTGCTTATGATTTTATTATGCTTAAGACTGATAGTAGTAGTGTTATTTTGCAACCATTTTATATTGATACTAGTAGTGATATTTTGTAATCATTTTATATATAATTTTGTTCATGTGCAAGCAGCTTTGTAGGTGCCTTATATTGGGAAATTATTTACATAAAAGCAAATGTTTTGTGCTAAATATGTCTGTCTCCATAGCTGGTGTAGGATTCGTTGTCTAGTTGAAATAAACAATCACAAGCCAAAATTTCCAAGGGAAAACAATGGTAATTTATTTGTACTCCTTTATAAGGGGGGGTGCTGCTTGTGCATGCAAGGACAGGGTGGACACACCCCAAATCTGCAATATTTGTTCTTTATATTCATTGCCATTACAAATTTACCTCCTGCCTGTTCTTCATTGGCTTAGTAATCATGCTGTAATCATATCGTCACAACCTATCCAAAGCTTCTAAAATGAATATATTACCTCCGCCCACCCCCCTCCAATCACTTCTCCCATTCCCCTTATTCTATGGCCCCGGCCCTTATTTACGAATTACCTTTTATGGCTGTTACTTCCTAGGGGTTTTCTCTAAAGTTGGGCCTCTGGCAATTCGGGAGGCCCCAGGAGAAAAACCTTACACTGCTGCTTTCTAACATCTACATGAAACCACTAAGGGAGGCCATCCATCCTATGATACCCCATTATGCACAGGTAGCCCTGGACCTAGAACATTTCATTTAGCGACCATTTGAAGTTACAATAGTGCTATAAAAAAGTGACATGACCATTTTTCACACTTACAACCATTGCAGCATACCCCTTGTCACGTGATCAAAATTATGACGCTTGGCAATTGACTCATATTTGTGAGTTTCAGTTTCCTGGGGTCATGTGGTCTCCTTCGTCAACTGAGCTGGTGCACAACTTGGGGATCCTCCTGGACTCATGGCTCCTGCTTGAGAAGATCATAGGTGGGGGAGGGGCTTTGCAGAGATTTATCTGGTGCGCCAACTGTGGCCTTTCCTAAACCAGGGAGACCTTGCACAGGGCTCAATCATGTCTTGGTCACCTCCAGTGTGGATCACTGCCCTGGACCACCCGGAAACCTCTAACTGGTCCAGAATGCCCCAACACACAAAGTAATGAGGGCCTCTAGGTTGCCCATATCACATCTTTGTGGTGCGAGCTGCCGCAGGCTTTGTTTCTTTACAGGTGCAATTGAAGATGCTGCTCATCACATTTAAAGCTAATACACTATTAATTAATTAATACACCACCCCACTGTGCTTTATAACACTCTTGGCTTAGTGTCAGCATATTCTCCCCAACAATCTGGGTTCTCATTTTACCGATCTCAGAAGGATAGAGGGCTGAGTTAACTTCGAGCCCCCTCAGGACTGAATTCCAGACTGTGGGCAGAGTCAGCAGGCAATACTACATTCTGACCACTGAGCCAACAGGGCACCTGTTATTAATGTTCCACTTTTATTATTTCTGCATCTATCTGTTCTATCAGGTCAGATAGGGTGGGCATGCACCTAGCCCCTTCCCTTAACTATTGCCAACTATTGAGCCTTTTCCGCTGCAGACCCTGCCCTAAGAGACAGTCTTTCCCCTGAAGTATGGCAGGCCATTATCCTCCTAGTGTTCGGTAAAGCAAGGAAGATCTAATCCTGTGGTTAATTTCTCCAATTTAGCTCTTTGCAAGGAGAAAGGTGACGACCTTTGAAGAATGGCACAAGGAGGGCCATAATAGGGCCAAGCAGCCTGGTTAATTTCTAATTTGAACAAAAGCAAGAATCACCTGTTGATAGTTAGGATTTTTTGAGATTTTATTATTCGTGTTGTTTTTTAATAGATGAATTTATTTGATTATTGTTTGCTATAGTTAAGCTTATTTTAAAAATGGTTGAGTATGATATTTACTCATTATTATGAACCAGATAGTTGCTTGTTTGTTAAAATATGTGATTGTACCTTTCCTTATTTTATCCTAAATCCCCTATTCCCTTCCCTTCCCATACCTATATTGTTCCTAATTTTTTCTTATCTATATAAACTCAATAAAATATTGTTTTAAAAAAAAGCAAGAATCACCTTTTTGGGATTCCATGACCATCCAAATGCCATCAACCTTGCTAGAGGTGCCCTGTATTTGAGGGCAAAGGTGGAGGCTTTGAATATTTGCCATTTTGCAACATATGTGATTTATCAGTTTGTGTATTAAGGTTTTATTACTGCAAACCGCCCACTCACCATGAGTTGGGTTGGCATATACATTTTCTTAACAAATAATATATTCATGTGTAGAAATAGCTCAAGGCGGCAAACACACTTGATACAGATGCAAGCTCGCTTTCACTGTCCCAGCACAGCAGTTCCCCTTGACTCTGTGGAAGGGAAGGACCACACTGGGCCAGAGAAAGGAAGCTCGGATCTTCTCCCTCATGTTTGATACTAAAACACATTTGACTAAAAAGAATATGGCAAGAAATTAAATGGTCAGTTTCTCAGCTGAGCTTCCAATTAGAGAAGAGAAATGAAATTCAACATTCCTCTACACACATCAAATTTTGCCTGTGTGATTTCTTGTGTCTGAAAAAGGTAGTATAATATGTGAAACATTTTTCACAATCTGGGCATTTGAATGGTTTCTCTCCTGTGTGTAACCTTACATGATTTATAAGGCTGGTCCTACTACTGAAATCTTTCCCACAATCTGGACACTCATACGGCTTCTCTCCTGTGTGAGTCCTCTGGTGTATCACCAGCCTAGAATTCCATCTGAAATTTTTCCCACAATCTACACACTTATATCTTTTCTCTTCTGTGTGAATCTTCTGGTGTGTAACTAGGTAGGAATTCTGACTGAAACATTTCCCACAATCACGACATTTATATGATTTCTCTTCTATGTGAGTAGACTGATGTTTCAACATGTCACTTTTCCAAAAGTAATTCTTTCCACAATCTGGGCACTCATATGGTTTGTCTCCTGTATGAAATCTCTGATGTCTAAACAGGTAGGAATAACAAGTGAAACCTTTTCCACACTCTGGGCACTCATACGGTTTCTCTCCCGTGTGAATTTTCTGGTGTCCCACCAGGTAGGAATTTCGACTGAAACTTTTCCCACAATCCAAACACTTGAATGGTTTTTCTCCTGTGTGAATTCTGTTGTGTATCACCAGACTGAAATTCTGACTGAATCTTTTTCCACAATGCAGACACTCATATGGTCTCTCTCCTCTGTGAGTTCTCTGGTGAATCACCAGCTTGGAATTAAGCCTGAAACTTTTCCCACAATCCAGACATTCATATGGTTTCTCTCCCGTGTGAATCCTCTGGTGACTCACCAGGCGGGAATTATGACTGAAACTTTCCCCACAATCCAGACAGTTGAATGGTTTTATTCCTGTGTGAGTTTTCTCATGTACCACCAGGCTAGAATTCTCATTGAATCTTTTTCCACAATGTAGACACTCATACGGTTTCTCTCCTGTGTGAGTTCTCTGGTGTATCACCAGATTAGAATTCTGACTGAATCTTTTCCCACAATC